TGTTCTAGCTGCAAAGGGTGGACCCACGTCATATTGAACCCTATGGATTAGGAACGGGATGTCACTTAAGCTCATATGTGAGTCAAGGCAGGTGAGCAAATACTTTTGGCAATATAGTGTATATATATGCAAAGAGGCCCCTGAGACAATCCAGCACATAACTGCAGGGTGCAAGATACTGGCAGGGAAATCTTACATGGAGCCATAACCAAGTGGCTGGAATAGAATACAGGAACATCAGTGCAGAGTAGCGGCTGGAAACCCGAAGGTTAAAGTGGGAAACAATCCAAAGATGGTAGAGAAAGATCAAGCCAAGATCCTGTGGGACTTCCGGATGCAGACGGACCGTGTGGTGACGGCAAACCAACCGGACGTTGTGGTGGTGGACAAAAAGCAGAGGAAAGCCGGTGTGGTTGCCATAGGGATACAAAGTGACTGCAACATCAGGAAAAAGGAACATGAGGAACTAGAGGAATACCAGGGGCTCAGAGAAGAGCTTGAGAACACCTGGAAGGTAAAGGCATCAGTGGAACCCGGGGTCATTGGGGCCCTCGGGGCAGTGGCCCCCAAACTGGAGGAGTTACAGCAGATCCCTGGAAATACATCAGAGATCTCCGTCCAGAAGATCAGAAGATGCAGTTCTAGAAACAGCAGAGATACTGGCAGAACCCTCAAGCCCAAGCTTGGAGGAAAAAAGGGGGGAAGACCGCCCGCAATGGGCGAGGAAGATATATATATATATATATATATATATATATATATATATATATATATATATATATATATATATATATATATATACCATATATCTACCAGAGGCCTGGGGGTTTGAGGGTTCTGCGCAGTATCTTAGCTGTTCCTAGGACTGCGCTCTTCTGGACAGAGACCTCTGATGTTTTACCTGGAATCTGCTGTAGCCACTCTCCCAGTTTGGGGGTCACAGCCCCCAGTGCTCCAATTACCACTGGCACCACTGCTGCTCTTACTTTCCACATCTTTTCTAGCTCCTCCTTCAGTCCTTGGTATTTCTCAAGCTTCTCGTGTTCTTTCTTCTTGATGTTGCTGTCGCTTGGGATTGCCACATCTATCACTACTGCCTTCTTCTGCTGTTTGTCGATCAACACGATGTCTGGTTGGTTAGCAGTCACCTGTTTGTCAGTCTGGATCTTGAAGTCCCATAGGATCTTAGCTCGGTCATTCTCAACTACTGTAGGAGGTGTCTTCCATTTTGACCTTGGGACTTCCAGCCCATTCCAGCCCATTATTGTCCCACAATGGAGAAATTCTGGTGCAAAAAGTTTATATAAAAAATGGTCAAACAAATGTGGACCTTAGAAAAGTGTACAACATAATAGTGAAGAGTAAAAAAATAAAGAAAACTAAATACTGTACTGTAAAGTGTTCTAACAATATAAACCGTGCACCTGCCAAATAAATAACCAGAATACATTTATGGGCTTTTTTACAGTAATGGATATTTAAAAATAGCAGCAACATCAGAGACGTGTAAAATGACAGCAGCAGGTTATTTAACTGACTAAGGTAGAAACTGTGCAAAATCAGCATGAATGGAACAACTGATTGAGGTTGATGGGAACAGTGGTGGTTATAAAGTCTTCCAGCTGCTCGGAGGAAGGATCTGTGATAACGCTGCCTGGTGCATTTTGGGTGCAGCAGTCTGTCACTGAAGGAGCTGTCCAGTTCAGTACCAGCTTCATGCATGGGGGGGGGGGACATTATCCGACAGAGATGTTCATTTAGTTAGGATCCTTTAGATTCCCACCTCCTGCACTGAGTCCAGAGGGCATCCAATCACAGCTGGCCTTCCTGATCAGCTGATCCAGCCGCTTCCTCTCAGCTACAGATGAGCCGCTGCTCCAACAGACAGCTCCATAGAAGATAGCTGATGCTACAACAGAGTTACAGAAGGTCTTTAGGAGCGCCCCCTGCACTCCAAGTGTCCTCAGTCTCCTCAGTAGGAAGAGTCTGCTCTCACCTTTCTTATACAGAGCCTCATTGTTGTGAGTTCAGTCCAGTTAGTTGTTCAGGTGAACACCTAGGTCCTTAGAAGAGTCCATATAGTTAGAACCTATTAGAACAAAGTTTTTAGACTTCATCTTCACCTGCTGCAAGAAGATTGACTATAAATAGAGAACATTAATCTAGTACCATTCAAGAGATAAACCTGTAATGTTATTATGGTCACAACAGGCTATGGCAAGCCATATTGATATGTATTAGTATTACTGAAATTTCCTGATATCTAAAAAAAAACAATTCCTCGCCAAAATGACCATTTTAAAACAAAATGACACTTTCCACATCTAGAAAAAATATTCTCAATGTCTAGAAATTTATTTCAGATATACATATTCCTATTGTTACTGGTTTTCATTTGAATTATATTATATATAGACAATGAAGAAATTTATTTCCGATATCATCAATGCATACTCATCAAGCTGATAAATGTCAGAATGGCCACTTGAAATGTGTAAACATTTCTAGGTAACTTAAACTTAATTCTTACTAGTATAATTTTTAATTTTTTTATTTTCTGAAATTCAGTTTGTGCTGCAAAAATGTAATTTAGAAAATATATTATTACAGTTATGTCTAGGAGTGGAATTTTGATCAGGAAGAATCTTATTTTAGTTATCTACTGTACAAATGGAACAACGGAGAGGAGAATGCTTTTAATAAATGTAAAGATGGCCTGCCATAAAGCCACTTCATATAAACTTTCGCATTAACTCGAGCAACAGTCTTCTCCTTTACCATCTTCCAGTCCTTTTTAATTTTCTCTGTCTTTTAAACCCATTCTCCATTTTTTCATTTCTTCATTAAAATCTTCAGTTCCTTGTGGTAAAATAGGCACTTCCTGTTGCCTGTTGTCATGATGACTTGTTGATTTGGGGCTCCACTGATAATTTGTCAAACTTGTCATACACGCGCTCTTAATGTGATAAACGGGATAAACTAAAGGGATAAACAGGTTTTGACTATCGGTGCGCTCAGCTGACACAACACCGGCATGCGCCTCTCCTGCACTGCAAAAAATCTGAATGTAGATAGGTCATTTTTTTCTTAAAATAAGTGCATTTGTTCTTGAATTAAGGAGGTAAAACAGACATTCTGCCAATAGAAGAAGACCATTTACACTTAAAATAAGAAAACACTATTGCGTTGTCTTATTTCAAGTGCATATTATCTAATTATCTTATTTTAAGAGTAAAATTACTCATTCCATTGTCAAACTTTCTAATTTACCTACTCAAATTAAGGGTGAATACACTTAATTAAGGACATTTTTACTTAATTCTAGATAGTTTTTGCAGTGTGATCAGCATATCCTAATCCTAATAGTTGAGAATATAAACTGTTCAGAAGTTTTGGGTCACATTGAAATGTCCTTATTTTTGAAGGAAAAGCGCTGTACTTTTCAATGCCGATAACTTTAAACTAGTCTTAACTTTAAAGAAATACACTCTATACATTGCTAATGTGGTAAATGACTATTCTAGCTGCAAATGTCTGGTTTTCGGTGCAATATCTCCATAGGTGTATAGAGGCCCATTTCCAGCAACTATCACTCCAGTGTTCTAATTGTACAATGTGTTTGCTCATTGGCTCAGAAGGCTAATTGTTTAGCTCGTTACAGAAGCTACAAAACTGACCTTCCTTTGAGCAGATTGAGTTTCTGGAGCATCACATTTCCGGGGTCAATTAAACGCTCAAAATGGCCAGAAAAAGAGAACTTTCATCTGAAACTCGACAGTCTATTCTTGTTCTTAGAAATGCAGGCTGTTCCATGCGAGAAATTGCCAAGAAATTGAAGATTTCCTACAACGGTGTGTACTACTCCCTTCAGAGGACAGCACAAACAGGCTCTAACCAGAGCAGAAAAAGAAGTGGGAGGCCGCGTTGCACAACTGAGCAAGAAGATAAGTACATTAGAGTCCTTAGTTTGAGAAACAGACGCCTCACAGGTCCCCAACTGGCATCTTCATTAAATAGAACCCGCAAAACACCAGTGTCGACATCTACAGTGAAGAGGCGGCTGCAGCATTCTGGGCTTCAGGGCAGAGAAGCAAAGAAAAAGCCAAATCTGAGACTGGCCAATAAAAGAAAAAGATTAAGATGGGCAAAAGAACACAGACATTGGACAGAGGAAGACTGGAAAAAACTGTTATGGACGGATGAATCCAAGTTTGAGGTGTTTGGATCACAAAGAAGAACGTTTGTGAGTTGCAGAATAAATAAAAAGATGCAGGAAGAATGCCTGACGCAATCTGTTAAGCATGGTGGAGGTCATGTGATGGTCTGGGGTTGGTTTGGTGCTGGTAAGGTGGGAGATTTGTACAGGAAGATGAGCGCAGTCCTAGGAACAGCTAAGATACTGCGCAGAACCCTCAAACTCCCAGGCCTCTGGTAGAGGACCCCAGCTTGAGGATGACACATACCACCCCACGAGGGGTGAGAAAACAGTTTTATATATATATATATATATACAGTATATATATATCTATATATATATCTATATATATATAGATATATATATAGATAGATGTGTGTATGTGTGCGTGTGTGAAGGGGGGGATCATGGAACATGATGCAACTTATCTGTGAGAAACACAACAGTTGACATCCTGTTCACAGATGGACAGTCAGCATTGTTTCCTCTGGGATATTCAAATACTGGTTACAATACTTTTTGTAGAAGTGAAGCAATTAATGCAAATTTTAATAACCTTATGAGATGCAAAAATAACCTCCTGCAAACAACAAGAGAAATCTATTGCCATATTGTCGTTAAGGAGTCACATTCCTCAGTATTTTTGCTTTTTTATACACGTGACATGGATGTATTGTTAGAAGATAGCGGGTTTGACATCAAGAATATTGTTGTATTTTTCAGACTGTGCTTCCTCTTGCACAAGCCTTGAGGTTAGAAGGTGGAGCTATAATGAGTTCCTCTGGGTTTCATTTACGGTTACCCAAACTTTTATCACATCATGTTTGAATGGTGTACATGCTTGGTGTCATGGTTTACATCTCCATCCTCCTTCAGAGTGGCTTTTAGCGTCGGTGCTCATTGAAGATGGCTGGGATTTTCTACCTGGCTTTTCTTTGGACTGCTTTCATCACACAGACAGGATTTGGTAAGTTAGCTTAAGGCATACCCAGTTAGGCACATTCCTCTCAATGAAAAGAAATTCATTTTATTTCTATAGCACCAATTCAACCAGATGTTATCTCATCTTATCTTAGTGGAAATTTGAAGCAGCCTCAATTATCTGTGTGTTTTACTTGATATGTTTTTCATGCACCTGTCATTTAATTTAAAGTATCTCTGTGTATTATGGAACTTTGCTGCCAGGACTCCCTTGAAAAAGAGGTTTTTAATCTAAATGGGATTATTATTCTCATTAGATAAAGGTTTATTAAAATAAAATAAACAGATTGATTCAAAGTTTTCCATCTAAGGAAAACCAGCTGATTTTATCGACTTATTGACTTGAAGTGACAACTATAAAAAATGTTTTCATGTTAGAAGAATTTGCAGACATGTGGGAAGAAAAAAAAAATTGGCAAACTTACTTTTAGCTTTAAAAAAAGAATTGTTTTAAAGTTCAACGTTTCAAAGTAATTTAAGGAAATAGTAACTACTAATGTTTAAGAAATGGGTGTAATTTGCTTTTTTGGTAACTTAAATAAAACTAGTTTTGCTTTACGATAGTCCAACAAAATACAAAGAAACACACAAGCTTCAATTTAGGAACTTAAAAAACGGAACTGATGTGGATTTATATTAATGTATAAGTGTGTATTTTAATGTTACGTCGCAGGCTGTGCTTAATGGGATGATATATAACACCGATATTAGAATTTACACAGCAGTTTCACTATTTTTTGATAGATGTTCTATCTTATTAATGTTGCATTTTGTTATACGTATAAACTGATTCTGAAAAAAAGCTGAGAAATGCATGAATGTTTTGTGGCCATCAAAATGCTTCAGTTGAGTAAAAGCATTTTGCACAATTTGGCACAATTGGAGAGGTTTGGAGACGCTTGTGACACCAAAAGTTGAAAGCCCCACAGCTGTGGAACTGTTACACCTAGAAGGTCTGAAACTTTCTGTGGTTGACATCACATAGAACACATTTAATACAAAGATACCTGCCTTTTCTCAAGCATGTTCAAACAATTATTTTATGAGAATAAAAAAACAACTTTGAGTTATATTTGAACTCATGCAGTTTAGCCTGTGTTTAAGTCACTATTTTTATTATTTTTTTTCAGAAACTAGAAGATTTTAGCTTCCAAATGACGTATCACGCAGGTAATTTGGGCTTACAGTTCCTCAGTTATTTGCTTTTCCATTTGGGTATAAAAAATAGGCGAGAATGACTTCAAATGAGGTCGGGGTTAAGAGGTTAAAGAGTTGTGGGAATGCACACTGTGAATAAAGGCGCTTTTTAAAGCTCAGATTTTAACTGTGGGTTGCGGGTTCGATTCCTGGTTTACTGGGGTTAAAGGTTTTCGGTGGATTGCACCGATGAAAAGCAAATATGCTGTTCTCATTTCGTTAGTTTTGTTTTTGCACACTCATTACTTCCCCATTACAGTCATTATTGGACCCATATTTCAAAATATTTTTGAAAAAAAAAATGTCCCTGCTTCCTATTTTTATTTAAAAATGACACCATAGATAAATAGAAATGGATCAATAGCCATCGCATCATTTCATTTTATTGACCATTTGTATGCCTTTGCAGTGCTGTGTGGGGAGGTTTCCTTCGTGGAGCGGCTGGAGGGAGAGTCTGTGTTTATCCGCTGCCACATGGAGCCCAGGGGCCCGCGGCCCTATGGTCTCTACCTGAAGCGCACCTGGATCCGCAGCGGGGAGGTTTTCTTCAAATACACAGAGAACGACCCTTCTGTTAACGAGTCCTTTAAAGAGCGAGTGAGCATCAGCGGAGACCCGAGTGATTACTCTGTCAACGTCAGCATCTCCCAGCTGAGGGCCGCGGACACAGACCGCTACACCTGCGAGTTCGTGGTGGAGAGGGTGGGATCCGAGGACCAAAGGATTCAAGGAAACGCTGAGATCTTCCTCCGAGTTATTTCCGGTGAGTCTCATTTCCCTCATGAACAGGAAGCAGCAAGGAAGTGAAACCTCCAGAAACCACCAGCTTTTCCTCCTCTTTCCCAGAGCTGAGCAGAACATTTTAACAGCAAAGCTCTAAAAGACAGACAGGGGCCCCATGAATAGAGAAGACAACACATAGAACAGCCCCATCCTACAGATAGAGAACTGTTAATAGAATAGACATCCATTATCTGTTCTAGGTTGTGTCCCTCTCTTCTTGTCCCTTTTCTTCTTGTTTTCCTCTCTATGTTTTGTACTCAGCTGACTTTTCATGCTGTCTCTAAAGGAATGAAAGATTTTTTCCAAGCACTAAGCTCACTTAGCTGATTGCTCCTTCCTGTGTTTCCAAAAAGGCCAAAGTAAATAACCCAGTCCTTCTTTTCACTGTAGACAAGCCATGATCTGCTTATCTGTTCTCCATTTTTCATTTGGATGAAATAATAGCTGCATGAATCATGACAGCAGACAAGATAGAGGAGAGCAGGAGGCGGGGTTACCAATCTACTCGCTCTGGAGAGCAGAGTTCGCTGCTTTTAGATGTTGTCTCCAAAGTCTCCAGTAGCAGAAAAAAGTCTCTAGATTTGGCGCTAGGAGCTTTTTAGAAATCAAAGTGCTAGAGGGGTCTGAAAAGTGGCTAAATATGAGACACACTTAATATTAGTTTAGCACCGATACCAGTATCGGTCGGGGCTCCGTTCCAGCACTAAAATGGTGATATCAGTATCGGCGAGTACCAACAAATAGGGCACTGATACCATTTTTAGAGCCAAAAGTTTCTTTAACTATTGTCACCCATTCTAGGTAGGCAATAAAATGTTCTACTGGATTCACTTTGTATTTGTTTGTTTCCTTCTTCACAAAGGTAGGCAGCAGCTGGACATGAAGCCATTATGCCAATTATCTTACATCCAAGTAGTCTGCAGTTCTTCATATATACACACAAATTTCAAACAAATGGTATCGGCCGATACTGCACAGCCAGGTATCGGGGCCAAAAAATGGCATCGGTGCAACACTACTTCTTATTATAAGCGTTCTGATGCCGTTTTACCAAAAGTATTTTGATCTAAAACATTATTAATGTGCACTAATAAGGAATAGTTATATTAACCATACATGTAAACAGAGGTTTATGGTCCCCCCAGGAAGTTGGAGCCCCAGGAAACTGCCTAGTATTGCCTAATGGTAAATCCCCCCCCTCACTGTGTGCCACCCTATTGTTTTGCTGCTATGCTTCCTGTGTTGAAAGACTCAATCTGCTAGTTTCAGTTTTTATTTAATTGTTGTGTGTCATCAGACAGAAATGAATCAGTATTTAAAAAGAATTTTGTCTCAAAACAGGAAGGGGGCTTTGACATATTTGACATATGTGAAGAAACCCAGTTTAGAAGCAAACAGGGACAGTTTCAGTTTGCCGTACGAACGCAGCCAAACCACTGAAGGTACTTTAAATCTGAAATGATTCCATCCTGTTCAATAAATGATCAGTGTTTTTAATTGAGAGTAATTTTCATGTGAATCTGCTTTACCGGAGGCAGTAGTGTTCTTTGACAAAAAATTGTCAAAGAACACTACTGCCACCTACTGGTTAGTGACGTAACGGTGCGGTATCGGCTGTTGTTGATCAAGTCCCAGTGCTGTATCTGGTGTTTGTCACAACGCGCTATTATCCAAGTCATCTTGAAAACATTCTTCTTCCAAATGTTGGCTATATGTTACGGGTTTTTTCTCTGGCCAGAAGTTCGATGGCAAATCCTCCCTCTTCAAGTTTGTAATTCGATTCAATTCAGTTTATTTCTATAGCACCAATTCACATGAAGAGAGCACATCCAGTTAGTCACAGTCAGAGAAACAGGACTACACTGGAAAACAGGCCAAGCTCCAACATCTAGAAACAAAGGTGTTGATGGCAGCAGCACAGCTGATATTTCTCTCCAGGATGGAGTCACAGCCAAACAGGAACAGACCAGATGAAGCTACTATGAGAAAAAGCAGAGAGAGCAGAACGTTAGAGATTGAACTAACAGATTCTGCAGAGTGGGAGAATAGAGATAGAATGAAGCAGAATGATGAAAAAGGGGTCCCTATGTCCTCCAGCAGTCTAAGCCTATAGCAGCAGAACTATAGAGATAGCTCAGGATAACCTAACTAATAAAAAAGGAAAGTTTAAAGCCTTGCCTTAAAAGTGGACGTTCAACCAGCTCCACATGCAAAGGGACGTGTAACCTCTTAATATCATGTTACATATTTGCACACCGACTGGCCATCCACTGTTCTGCTGACGACCTCAAGCTGCAGCGAGGCTCTTCTCTCTGATCCTGACAGTTTCACTGCTGCCAAGCAGTGGCCAAGCCTAAAACATATATTCTTTACTAAAGAGTTTATATCTTCCATATTCATGCTATCATAGATGTCAGTGCTTTTCCTTAAATCAGATTTATACTTGGGGGGTGGGGGGGTGGGTGGGGGGGGGTGATATTTCATAGATAGATTAAATATAATAAGAAAGTTAAATCTGTAATCAAATCATGTCAAAGTTAAATCTATTCTTTAATTGTCAATTCATGCTTTTTATTGGTTCTTGATTTGAAATAGTGTGAAGGTCTCTATATCAGCTTTCTCTTGAGGATCTTTTGTCCAGGACTCGGCTTCCTGTATTTTAGAATAAAATTTAATTTAATTCAATTCAGTTTATTTATATAGCGCCAAATTCACATCACAAGTCATCTAAAGGCACTTTACAGTTCAGAACCAGGCTCAGTGTGAGCGGCCATCTGCTGAGGCCCACTGGGGTTCAAGTTTAAACTTTTATTTGATGGGTTTTTAAAGGAAAAGTCCGGTCAGCTTGGAATAATTAGTGGATCATTATTTATACCTAAAACTAATATCTTTGAAGTGATTTAATGAATTTAGCATTAATCATTTAAAAAAAAACTATAATTTTCCTTGCGATCACTGAGTCTGGGAGCGGCCATTTTTTGCCCAAATATAGTAGCCCCTCCCTCCTGCCATCTTCCAGCAGTGACGTCACTGTGCGGTAAGCCTAGCGCCATTCTCCCCGCTTTACAAGCTAAGTCAATGGGAACTACTAGACACATCTGCAATCAACAACAATTATTGAAGATTTCCAGAGGACTTCACCATTGAAATTCACCAGAGCTATAGTGAAACTGACAATGCCCACGTGCATGGCAGCTGGATGCTGGAATACATCGGGTAAAAGTGAAAAAAAGAGTTATTCCACCTTTCTGATTCCTGATCCTCCACGGACGGGTTGGTCGTTGGATCGCCAACTTGAAGAGGGAGGATTTGCCATCGAACTTCTGGCCAGAGAAAAAACCCGTAATATGTAGCCAACATTTGGAAGAAGAATGTTTTCAAGATGACTTGGATAATAGCGCGTTGTGACAAACACCAGATACAGCACTGGGACTTGATCAACAGCCGATACCGCACCGTGACGTCACTAACCAGTAGGTGGCAGTAGTGTTCTCTGACAAACATGGATGCCTCCAGTAAAGCACATTCACATGAAAATTACTCTGAATTAAAAACACTGATCATTTATTGAACAGGATGGAATCATTTCAGATTTAAAGAACTTTCAGAAGTTTGAATTCTGAATATGAGCGACTTTTCCTTTAAAACATGGACATTTTCAAAAGCAGCCAAACTTTCTTTTCACCGCCTCTCCACCACATGCCCAGGCTAAAGCTTTAAATCCAAGCTTAAGATCATGTTTTTCAGCAGAGTCTTTTAATTAGTTTATTAATCAATGAGGGTTTGATGATCTAACGTTTGTTTTCTTTTTATGTGATCATACTGTTAAGTGCTTCACTCACCTTTATTGGTTGGTTTACAGGGCTGTATATATAAACTAGAAAATTTCTAAAGAAATTTTGAGGGGGGCCACCTACTGCCCGTCTGGGTAACTGGGCCAATACGGCCCTGGCAAGTGACGTTGGGGCTGCTTACGCCTTTGAGGGCTGCTGAGGGAAGCAAAGAGGGCTAGGTCATGGGCAAAGAGAGCTGTGTGCCACTTGTACTGAAATCTGGGAAATAGACGTGCACAGCATATGATGCACAAGGGTAATATGGGTTGTCCATATTGAACCGCAGTGGGTAAAGCGCAGTTGGCGGGCTCTGCCCGCCTGCTAGGAGCCCTTGCAGCGATGAAAAGAATCACCAATGGCGGGCTCCGCCCGCCTGCTAAGAGCCATTGCAGTGATGAAATCACCATTGGCGGGCTTCGCCCGCCTTCTAAGAGCCATTGCAGTGATGAAATCACCAATGGCGGGCTCCGCCCGCATGCTCAGAGCCATTGCAGTGATGAAATTACAAATGGCTATGAGCAATATGCCAGAATGTATGAGTGTGTATAAGGAAGAGGCTTTTATTCTGTAGAGTCCCTGTAGTCTTATTTTGAAAGTCTATCATGGATGTGCATCAAAAGAGGGGTCATGCCCAGCAGTGATATAGAATCCATTTCCAAATGTTAAATCACTGGTTTTCCATGTTATTAGGTGAATAGCTGCTGTATTACAGAGTAAATGGGAGACTTTTATTGTGAAATTTGCTCTGGGGTGTGTTTTGAAAAGGTCACTAGAGTCTAATAAAAACAACCTGGAAGAGTTTGGGTCATAATGTTGAGCCATTTGCATCAATTATTGCATTAGTATAATCTAGAGGCTTTTATTTTGTAGGGTCCCTGGAGTCTTATTTTGAAAGTCCAACAGAGTTGTGTTTAGAGAAAATGTTCAGACCCAGCAATCATAGTTGATGACTTTCCAATCGTTAAATCACTCTTTTTCCATGTTATTAGGGCAGTAGATGAAGCGGAAATGGGAGGCTTTTATTTTGAAATTTGCCATAGGGTGTGTTTTAAACAGTCTCCTAGAGTCTATTCTCTAAAATGGGGTTGAGTTTGGGTCATAATGTTGAGCCATATAGGGCAATAAATATATGTAAAAAATATAGAGG